GCTGCTGGAGCAGGAGGTGCGCGAGGTGAATGAGCGCGAGCGGGAGCTGCAGCGCCAGCGGCTCAGCGTCTACGGAACCGCCGAGTTCAAGGAGCCGGCCCCCAGCCTCACCGGTAAGTCACCGATGCCCGGACGCTGGGGACTCCTAAGGCTCCAGCTGCCCTCACCGACTACCCAACTCTAGTGGCCCTCTGATCCTCAGGGTCCCCATTCCTGGCTCCCGGACTCCTGAGACTCCCCCCAACTCTCCTCTCTGCCCACCCCTTCTGGGCTGCCCACCCCTATGCTCCACACCCCCCACCTTGGACTCCCAGATCCACCCCCACCTAGTCTCGTGGTAAGGGAAGGGAGGAGGATTCCAGATGTCTTTGTTGGGTTCCAGGGAACCCTCCCTGGGTTCTGGCACACCTGGATTCTCCCTCTGAATTTTCGGGTTCCTTCCTCCCTACTCTGGGTTTGTTCGTCTCCCTCCTCCCTCAGGATGGAGGCCTCCATGGGGAGGAGGGGAAGGGGGCGAACGCCTGTGTGTGTTTAAGGGGTGCGGCCAGTCTCCTTCGTCCTGGCTGCCTCCAGCTGGTGAAAGGAGGGGCAATCCCGGCTGAGCGCCCCTTCCCCCGCAGCGAGCAGGGGCGACGGAAAGCTGGCAGTGACCTGGCCTCCCCGCAGGAAGGCTTCGGAGAACGGTCTGGATCAGGTGAGATCCCTTTTCTCCTCGTGCCTCAGGCGCTTGTCGCTGCCCCCACCTCTCTGCGCGGAGAAGGCTGGGCAGGGGAAAGGGTCCCCCTGGGAAGTCACTCTGCTCTAGGACACAAAGTCCAGGGCGTGGTCGGGGGACTGACGAGGCGGCGGTGGTCCTGGGGCCCAAACCGCTCCACCCTGCTCCTGGATGTCCTCACCTGTGGTGCGGAGGCCCATGAGGCAGGCGTTCGATTTGGCCCCTCTCCCCAGGAAGAGCGGAAGCCTTGAGGTTCGAGCCGACTGGGATCCACGGACGAAAGTAACATGCCTGTCAGAGGACTCAGGCAGGGACGACCAGGAGTGCCCTCCGGAGGGGCGGAAGGGGCTAGAGGTCTGCACCGGAGAGGATGAAATCGATCAGCCCATCCTTGAACCTGATTTTTTGTGAAATTGACTGGTATCTTCTATAAAAATGTTAGTCCCTATTGGGAAACACCACCACCACAGCTCCGCCAGTAAAACAGTCCAGCCCTTCTCTGCCTAACTGCAAACAGAACTAGCTTCTCCTTACGGCCTTTGACTGTTAGAGGACCGAGGTCACCTCCTCGGCTGCCCCCACTCCCCAATAAAGCCCCTTCTTTCTGGGCAGTGCAGGCTGTTTTCTTCTAGGTCCTCTTCTGGGGTGGGGCGGGACCGCGGCAGGCGGAGGAAGACCTGAGAAAAGGCTGAAGGCGCTGGCGGGACTGAGGAACGGCCCCTTACCGCCCTGTTCCGGAGCCGCAGGTCTCCCCAGGCCCGGCTGAGGTCTTAGTGCCCCCTGGCGGCGCGGGTACGAACTGTGGCCTTCGGAAAAACAGAGCTCATGCCCTCCCTTTACAGATTTCATTAACATTATCGGTGCCAGCGGCGTACCCCGCTCAGTGTGCTGGCTAGACAAGTGATAAGAGGTTGTTCCCGCCCTAGCGACGTAAACAATAGCTATCAAAAAAAAAAATCATAGGGAGTGGTGTTGGTGGTTCAAGCTCCTTAGCAGGGCATACAAGGCCATTTATAATCTGCCTAGCAATTACAAACCTCACATGCTACAGACTCCAGACAGATATTAAGAGAGAGATGGGATGTGTTGTGAAATAAATGCCTCACTTCAACGGACAGGTAGGTGTTTGTATCACCAATGCTAATTGAGCTCAGTGGTGTCAACCTGCTTTTTTCCAAAAGCAATTGAAAACTAACCCTTTAAAAGAGAAATCTACTGAACTTCGAATAATTTTGACTATTTAGGAAACTTTTTTAATTGGTGGGGGGCAGGAGGGGACAGCAAGCAACATCTGTTTGCAATAGGGCTTGTGGTTGTCAATTGGCAAGCCCTCCTTAATTCCTCTCTGTCCCAAGACAAGGGGTTCAAGGCCTCCCTGGATGAGGTTCAAGAGGGTCTGTGAACATACTAAGCTGTAAAATTGTATCTGTGCAGTATATTCTGTGGTTTTAGTATACCAGCTTCTTAGAGGTGCACTGAGATACAGACAAGATCGAAGAGCCAAGAAGGTTTTAGAATCATTGTTTAAACTCCTGGATTTATCCAACTCTGTATGTCCTGGGTCTTGCTCACACAGCACTGCACCTCAAGAGCTCAGTGCAAAGACCCACCCTGACCCCATCATCAGCACACTGACCACATGCTTGACTGTTACTCTAGGAGGCATGGAAAGAAAGGCAGGAAAGAGGGAGCACTGCCAAGGTGGAAAATGGAAACACTCAAGGGCCTGTTCTTAATTCCCGACAGGGGAGCTAAGAACTGAGCATGTAGAGTTGACAAAACCGCTTAAGTTTAGACCTGGGTTCTCTAACTTTCTTGAAGAATAAAATTACCCAAGTTACCCTTATGCCAAGTAGATCACATCTATTAAGAGGCCTTGACATTAAGAGAGCTCGGCAGGTACTTCTGACATGGAGCCAAGTTTGAGAGCCACGATGTTGATGTAGGTTAGCATTTCTCAAAGTGTGGTGTCTGGACCAGCAACATCAGTATCACTTGGGAACGTGTTAGAAACATCCATTCTTGGGCCCCATCCCAGACTTGATGATCAAATCCTCCATGTGATTCTGAGGTATGCCAAAGTTAGGGAATCATGGGTGTAGACAGTTCCCAAGCAACAGGACCCAGGAAATCAAGCCTGTTTCCTTCCTCTCCCAGTACTCCTACCACCCACAGGAAATCTAGTTTTAAGTGGCCTGTGGATTTATCTTAAGGGAGACAGATTAAAGCTGCATCTGGCTAGTACGTCCATACTAAGATGTGCTCTAAGTGTAAAATACACAAAAGATTTTTTAAAACTAAGTATGAAAAAAGAGGTATATCTCAACTTCTTACAATGATTATATGTTGAAATGATATATTGGGTTAAATAAATATCTCACTAAATTAGTCTGACCTCTTTATTTTTTAAATGTCACTACTAGAAAATTTGAAATTACAAATGTGACTCACATTTGTGGCTCACTTTAAATTTCTATTGGACTGGGCTAAACGGTGGTGCTGAACTCACAGGGCCCTCAAATTAGTATTAGGGAAATTCAGAATCCCTTTGGACTCATTCAGACTTGGGTTGTTGACTAAAAAATCCTTGATGCAGTCAGAAATTGTCACCAGAAGGCCCCCCTCAACCCAAAAGAACAAGAGTTTTGGTCCAACCCTGATTCAGTTCACGTCTCACTTCCATTTTTGTCATTTATAAACTGGGATAATAATAGTTACAATAATACTATGTGCCAGGGACTGTTAGGTAAGCGAGTGCTGTGCTCAAAGTCATGAAAGCAGGCTCCAAGTCACTCCGACTCTGAAAATGCTAGCGGGAATCAAAGGTGTCCCTCAGTTTAAAGAGGGGTAACTCGCAGCTGGGTGACAGCCAAACCAACAAGGACACCCCTCGCCTCGCAAGTGACCAGTTCCTATCAGAATGAACCCAGTTCAGGTCCAGGCTCTGCCACTTGGTCACAGTAGGTCTGGACAGGTGAATTTCACCTTTCAATACAAGCCTCCTCTCCTTAGCGACCCCAACTTGAAGTGCCTTACGGCTCTCCCTCCCTGCCGAAGCCCTGGACACCCCAGGGGGTACACCAGCCCATGACCCCAAAGCTGGAAGAGAAAGATCTAACCGCAGCTCTTAGGAAATTGATTGCTGGCCCTTTCCTGGGGCACGTCGGGAAATGTAGTCTTTTTTGGTACAGGGAAATAATTTCCGGGTCAAAACATGAGAGTGGGCGTGGTTCTGTGTCCCTTCCCACAGTGGGTGTTGAATTTCCCCGCTGCCCGAAACTTGCGGTTTTCTGGGTTCCGGTTGTTGACAGGAGCCTCTACTTCCCTTTTTGCTTCATGCGCCCTCTGCGCATGCTCTGAGCTCCCGTCCGCCAGTCGGTGGACTATGGTTTTGTTTCCAGACTACACTTCCCAGAAGGTCACGCGAGCGGGCGTGGCCTCCTCGCCCCAAGGGGAGGGGCGCGGCGCTCCGAGCGGACGCTGAGCTTGTGACCTCTTTCTTTTATTTAACATGAAACTGGTGTGTCCACACGCAGGGCAGCGGCCGGGCTGGACCCGGTACGGACGGGTCAGTTCGGCCTGGCCCCTTGGAAGGCGAAGCCAAGCTGCACTAGGAGAACGAGTGAGCCCCTTCCCTACCCCCTCTCCTGGACTTTGGAACTGTCAAGCCCCAGCTCCCAGGACCCCCTCTCCAGGTTCAAGACCCCTGCGCGGCCCACGCCGCTGGCCCCGCCGCGCTCGCGGGCCGAGCCGTTCCTGCTTGGCCCATGAGGATCTGCACCAGCAGGTCGGTGGCCAGCATGTGCGACGGCTCCTCGAAGCCGATGGTCAGCAGCTGCTGGTAGTCCCCAGGAGGCTGCGGGCACAAAATCCTGGGGACCGGGGACAGAGAGGCCTGGACATGAGGGCCCCCTGCTACTCGGGAGCCCCTCCCCTTGAGCGAGAGGCTGTGGCTGAAAGAGCCTTTGTTTCAGTTGGGGGTGGGAAAAACCCTGGGGGAAAGTGGTTTCCTTGTTGATGAGAAGCCTAGAGGGTAATGGCTCTGGGAGGCTGAGCAACTCTAGCCCTGATCTGGCCAATTACTCAGCTAGCTGTGTGTCCTTGAGCAGGTAACTTAACTTCTCTGAGCACCTGTTCTTTGTAAAATGGGGTAGTAGTATAGACCTCAGTGGGTTGTTACACGAGTTTGCATAAAAGCAGTTTTCATGGCCCAATAAAATGCTATCATTATTACCAAGGGAAACAGTGTTGGGGAAGATAGATGGTCTTTGGTTGTGTTCTGTCCCTCCCTCCAGACCTCACACCCACTTTGGCATTGCCCTAGCTCGTACCATGAATAAAGGTCATCCTCAGCTGGTCCTAGGGGTACCCATCGGCCGATGGACCACAGCTTCTGAATCTGGGGGCATGAATTGGCTGGACTCTTGCCTGTGTCTTCCCATGTATCTCGATAGCACAGGAAGTAGCTGGAAAGGAAAGGGGCAGCAATTAAAAGTGAGCAGTTTCTTAGTTTCTGCTGTGAGGGCTTTAATTCTGGAGGTAAGGTGGAAACTTATCAGAGGTTGCCTTCACGTTCTCAGGTAGGGATATGACTTAATACTGAGGGCTTTTCTCTCTGCCAGCCTCCTTTTAAGATGAAACTTTTATTTTGATGGGGGCATATATTTTTTTAAGATGAAAATGACCTTTCAAAGTTCCTTGATTTCCTGCTTGGCTTTCTACACTTTTGTGGTGATGGTTCGGAGGGCCATACTGGCATTCTGCATAGAGAGGGGAGGACTCTGATTCTGGTAAGGGGACTCACTAATCCACATGGGAATCTTGTCCCCAGCTGCTGGGCTCTGGGATGGTTTCCAGGTTCCAGCGCATCTTCTTATATAGGTATCGGGGGAAGCGGCCGGCGGTGTAGGCAGCAGGGGCACAGTATCTGAAGATGGACACCTCGTGGGAAGGACTGATGGAGAACCTCCCACAGAAGAAACAGGAGATGCTGGCAGGAGATGGGAGTGTGGAGAATGAGGCTGTGCCCCGGCCTCCACCCCCAACCCCAATCCCAGTCTCCTACAATTTTACCTTAGGGGGTCAGTCTCCTCCAGGTCCACAAACCCAAATGAGGCATACATGAGGACCAGCTGTTCCAGGCGCAGGGTCAGCTGTTGGGAAATCTCCAACAGCTGCATGGAAGATGGGGCACAATGAGATTAGCTGGCCTGCCAGGAGCATCCTCCCCATTACGCAGGCCTGAGGGATGAAGGGGTACGGGGTGTAGGAAACCTGTTCCACACACCGCCTTTCGGATCAGCTCCTGTAGAGCTCCATAGATGGGGGGAACACTCCGAGCAGCTGCCTCCAGGTACAGGAAGTAGGGTTCACACATCTGCAAGAAGGTGGGCATGGCTTTGACGAGCTGTTCCTTCTGCACTCGGTCCCTGCTGAAAGGAGAAGGGGGCCTTCGTCTGAGGTCCCTCACCCGCCCCGCCACCAATTTCTCCTTTTCTACTCATCCCCCACTGTATCCCTGGCCCTGACCCCCATTGCGAAATCCCTCAGTGTCAGACCTTCTCAGAGCATCTTCCAGGACCACCAGCATCAAAAACATTTGAAAGACTTGTTAAAATGCAGGCACCTGAGTCCCGCGACTGAGTTTGATTCAGTTGGTGAAGCCCAGAAATCTAAGGTTTAAGCAGCCTCCCAGGGGATTCCAATGAACATTGAAATGTGAGAACCACAGTCCGCTTTACCATGGTCTGTAAATCATATTATCCTTTGGGGGTCTCAAACTGGTAGTCAGCAGGCCAAATATGGCTCAGATAGGTTTTATGTAGCCTGCCCAAGGTTCAAAACCTAAGCCAAGAGTTAAAAAGTGGGAGAAAAGTTCTAGTCTAGTGATTCGGCAATCCCCAGGGTCCATATAATAGCAGACACTCCCTAACCCCAAATTTCTTTTTTTTCTAACCCCGAATTTCTACAGTCCTCATAACTCTTTGAAATTGGGTTCCTAATCAGCTAGCTTCCGGTTCATAATGTTTTTATTTTGTCCTAATGTTCTTGAGTTTGCAAACCTAGTGTATATCGCCTATCTTGTAACCCCCTCCTCTGTCTCCTTATCCATGGGCAGAACCTAGGACCCTGTCCAGCATCACCTGTAGAGCAAGTAGCTCTGGAAATCATCTGCCTTCTTGAGCAGGTAGCGGAGCTGTTCGGTGATGGGGCTGAACATGGTGTCCAAGGATAGGCGAGGGGCGGGCCCGGGGCCTGGGGCCAGAGGCTCAAGGGAAGGCGAAGAGGTGGAGGCCTCGGGCAGCTGCCCCTGGACGTCCTCGGGCTCCGCCTCGGGTGGGTCCCCAGGTTGGCCAGAGGGGGGCGACCGCAAGGGGTCTCCACAAGGCTGTGCCCCAGGTTGAGAGTCGTCCAGGGGCGGCGTTTCCCCAGAGCCGGCGGGGAACGGTCCCACGAACCACTGCTCGGTAGCCATCCTGCGGCAGGAGGCGGGGACCGGAGTTCTTTAAGCCTCCGCCTCTCACATTGGCCGCGGGTTCGACCCCGCCCAGGGTACCTCGGACTTGCCTGGCTTGGGAGCGCGTCCCTCTCCAACTCACCCTGATCTCGACCTCTCTGCCCGCGCCGCGTGGAGGGAGTTCGCCTCATTTGAATTTCAACACGCAGGAGGGGCGCAGCCGCTCCGGCCCGAGCTGCGCGCCCGCAGGACCCCGCGCACAAGCGCGCTCCCGGAACCTGGCAGTGGGGTACGCGTGCAAGGGAAGCGATCTGGGACGCCGCTGGCGGCGTGTTCTGGGGGTGCGGCCCAGGGGCCAGTGCCTTTAACTCTCCGAGGTTGGTTTCCTAGGGAGGAGGAGGTCTCTCTCTACCGGGCGTCCAAACCCCGGGGGGCGCACGTATAGAAAGCGAGGACGGCCCCACCCCACTCTGAGCCTCTTGACTCCCAAGCCCCAGAATCTGTATTTTAAAAAATAGAACTCTAATGGAGTTGAGAAATTGCATTAGAACTTAGCAGGCACTTGTGATGTAGTAGCTACTACTACTACTAACAATACTACAAATCTTCACGTGGAAAAATTTTCCCACCCCATATCTCATCTGATGCCACAGTCCCTTCTGTTCCTTTTATGGAAAGGACCGTGAGGCCTGGAGACCCTTCTATGGACCCAGAACAGATCCCTGCCCCCAACAGTTGTAGGCTGGGTTCTTTACAGCAGGCAATGGTTGTCAGATACATAGTTATGAAGCGAAATACATTAATTAAAGACTCTGGGTAAAGCACTCAGACAGGTGTCAGACTCCACCCTGTGTGACCCTGAGCAAGCATCTTTACTGTGCTGAGCCAGTTGCCATGTCTGTAAAGTGGGCTTTTAATGAGCTATGCCTCATGGGGCTATGGTGAGAACCCAGAGAATGCTTGTAAAGTTTAGTTAACTGCTAGTCACTTAGCAAATATTTGAGCACCTACTGTGTGTGCCCAGGCACTGTCCTGGGAATGCGGAGATGTCCTCCTGGATTAGTTACAGTTACACTCACAGCTGGCTTTGACACAGCCCTCATTCACTGTCTCCCTGCCTCAAACAATTCTGTCCTAAGCCTAGACTCCCAGGAGGCTGGTGTGGCTGTTCATCACCTTTCCCGGACTGCATTCATAAAATGACTCTGTAGCATTTTTCCTTCTCTTTTTTTAAAATTTTATTTAAAAAACCTTCGGTGCAATATTAAAAAGCAATACAGCCAGCTGGAGCGACAACAAACAGAAAGAAAGAGGAGGGGTAGGGAAGACCCAGGGACCCCATCCCAACTGCTCCCAGGGGCTGGAGGCCAGGGACAGACTGGGGAGGGGCCTGGGTGGTGGGGGGAGAGAGGAAAGGCCACCCACCAAAATGAACAGGCAGAACAAAACATTTATATAGGAAACATCTGGCTGAACTGAAGAGGATCAGGGGAGGTGGGAAGACCCCCAATCTTTTTTTTTTTCCCAAAAAATGTCCTAGATTGGGGAGAGGGTTGGCCGCCTGGGGTGAAGTGAGCAGGCCTTGTCCCACCCCACACTCCTCTGTCATGGAGTACAGGATGTGCTGGAGGCCAGAGGTGTGTGTGTGGGGGGAGACACAGGGAAGAGATGAGTAGGAAGGAATGCCCCCTCACTGGAATCTGTTAGGAAGGCTAGGGTGTCCCTGTCCAGCTCCTGGACTCTGGGGATCTTGGGTGAGATAGGGACCGGAATGGGTCGGGGCAGGGGTGAGGCTGGGCGCTCAGCCTAGAAAGCCATCAGGGTCATCATCCTCAAAGTGGCCTTGCTGCAGCACCTTGATGTGGTGCTCGTAGATTTTCAGGGCTGGGCCAAGGCGGATGGACAGGCCGGTCAGCACATCTGTGCGCTGCATGAGCAGCAAAGACTTGCCATCAATTTCCTGGGTGGGACAGAAAGACAGAGAGAGAGAGAAGCAGGATCAGAGCATACCCTCGCTGAGGCCCTGGAACAGAGGGGCTAAGCTGAGGGCTGGGGACTCACCTGCTCTTGGAAAGCTGTTGCCTGCTCAGGGAAGCCTGCCTCGGTGAAGTACTCTACCACGTCGGTCACCGTCCACTCCACAGGATCAGCTGGCTTTTCCTTGCGCCCAGAACTGTGTCGGAACAGAAAGAAGCAGTGAGCAGTGCTGCTCCTCTGGTTCTGTTACACGTACCAGGGTAGCGCCCCATGTCTCAAACACCCCAACTTACGGACAGCCAAAGGGGGTCACATCTGCCCCAGGTAGGGCTGGTTTTCCTGGGGGCAAAGGCACAGGGGATGGGGAGTCTGGCCCAGTGGCAGCAGAGGCTGGGAAATAAAAAGCATATGCCTGTGGTTTTGTCTTGGGGCTTGGTTCCTTCACACCAGATGCCCTCCTCCACACAGAGTGGTCCTTACCTGATCCCCCTTCCTTATTCATGGCAGCCATGGAAAATACCTGGCGGGAGCCACTGCCTGGCGCTGGCCCTCGCCCTTCCTCCTGGCCCTGGTGGGGGCCACAAGGCGTCCACTCCTTGACCCTCTCCTTGGCATTCTGAGGGCCCCGCTCTCCATTAAGCTGGTGGTGCTGGGCACCTGCAGGACGGTCACCCTCGGGCACCTCGGAGCCCTCAGATACTTCATCTTCATCGTCTTCATCTTCATCATCTTCCTCCTCCTCTTCCTTCTCAAGCACTCGCTCTTCTCCACCTCTCTGGTGTAAGGGAGAGAGGCACCCAAAGTTAGGAGCTGTTCTGGCCCTGGGCCCCAATCCCTGGGATCCAGGACCGAGTGGTGTGCCTAACCGCCACCTTTATTACCAACACGTACTAACTTTTACACATTCACTCGGTGCCAGGCTGTGTTAATAAAACCCTCAGTGGCCAAATCTCACTAAACTCGCTCAACAGCCCCAAGGGGTCGCTACTGTTATTAAGTCGTGCTTTACAGCCGAGGAAACTGAGGCTGGGGAAGATTAAGTCACTTGCCAAGGTCACCACGCTCCGAGCTCGCAGAGAAGCAGCGCAAAACCCGGTCCGCCCGCCGCCAGATTCCTCCCGGGACTCCCGCCCCGTCCAACTTCGCCCGCACCTGCCCACCGC